CCGTATCAAAGTGTTCTTATTGCAGCATAGAAGACAGATTGCATACTTGGATGCCGGCATTCCAGACCGCCGATGTCTGACGGGACAAACTGTCGCTTATTTGTCGTACTGTGGCATGGATTACTCCGGCACTTTGGCGTTATTTTTATCGTACTGAAAGTTCAGTGGCGCATTTTGATTGCTTCATTGTCTCTGAAGAATGCGTTTGTTTAATCTATTTCAGTGAAAATTTAAAACTACTTCAATTAACCATTGAGACAGCGGCTTTATTTTTTAAAAGAGAGACCAGTTTTTGTGCACAGATGTTGGGGGGTGCGCAAGAGAGCGCCTTCGTATTCATGTAACTAAGATGTGTAAAGAGAAATATACCCCTCATGACATCAGGCACCAGAGGGAAGACAGTCAATTCCCATCATTGCCTACAACTATTACAGCCTAAGTATTAGAAATAAGTGTCGATAAAGACAAGGGAGGCTGAGGTAGTCATTTCCGGCCTGTTAGGCATCGTCAGGCGGTCATGCTGAACCTCAGGTTTGTAGAATCCGGGATTTGAACCCATCTAGTCGGAAAAGTGCAGGGGAAGGCATCACGGAACCACAGTATGCCAACAATGAATAGGAAAGATCACTCCGATGCGTGCTAAGTGCCATCGAACCGGTATTCAGTCGTTGAAAGGGGTACGACAGACTGATGTAATGTTATTGGACTGCGTTACCCGATATTTCTGAGCAGTACCCACCCAGAAACTCATATCATCAATCAACTTTCAGTTCGCGAAAAAGTAACAGCCTACAGCCTCTCATGAAAACGTCTTCATCAGACGTCTCAATCACCGTATGTTTGGGAAAGTAAATGTTAACTGCAACAGAACTCACCCAAGGCGCAGAGGATAGACTTTACGTACCCGGTGATGCCAACACTGAAACACTCTAGGGCAAGACCTTTTATAGGTTGCAGACGACGTGGTTGACCTGATCGTCCGAATGCGATGGCTGACCGCACAATGAGAAAATGTAGGGCAGCGCATTCAAGCTTGCAATGCGTGTCTGTGCCTGTACTCTGTAACGGTCAGTTCCACACATGTACTCTGTCTTAAACACGTACTTGATGTCCTTACCGATTGTTTCAGTGTCGACCTCCTGTACTTTTATTCAATTTACAATGGAGTCAAGTAAGACTGGCAAAGTTGAGAGATGCGGGGAGTCAGGTAAAGGCTGCAAGATGAATTGCCACTAGGAAAACCCGTAATTTCGTTGATAATTTGAACTTGAAGTGGAGGGAACAATGTGTCGCTAAAACTTTTCACACGAACTCGTTGTTTATAAAAAAATAAATCGGGGGAATAACACGCTCAATAACCACGGGTGTTTGGGACAACCTCACAGATTACTATATACGCGAGTGTCTCGAGCAGAAGTTCCCACCAAGACCGTTTTTTGGTTTTGTTTATTTGGCCAAAGAGTTCCGGGTATCTGGGCATCTGTTACAATGTAAGCTAAGACAATAAGCTTCTTTTTGCTGCAGCTTTCTCACTTTCGCCGGAAAGTATCGAATTGGATTTTCACGTCAAATTTAATGTGAATTGTAGCAACTTCAAATGGGTAGCCACAATTTACTTTGTATGCAGAAGGAAACTTTGCTGTGCAGGAGTCATCCTCGAAATCATATAGAGCATGATGAGGGACCAGCTGATGAGTCCAATCGGCACAATTGCGTCAGGCAGTTTAAGAGAACAGGCGAAGAAGGTTTTTGGCTTTTGACTACAAGAATTACTGAGGGTACTCAGAAGTCATTTTTACTTTTCGAAGCATCGTACTGACCGAAAAGACACAGTGAACAGGCGTATGTGGAACCCAAATGAAGGATAAAGGAAGATATTCAAGACGGTCAGGAATTCAGTGTTCTGATGTTTTGTTACAAAGCTGTACTTAGTGGACACCACATTTACGAATACCAATTCCCGAAGACCGTACTAAGATTCCGCCTCCGGTCGTCCAGGTTCAGTCCAGCCACCGGATTCAGGCGAGTGGGGAAAGAGAGAGCACTTGCCTTGCTTAATTTCCGAGCTGCGAGGGGTTCGGCTCGTCAGTGGGTCCCCCAGCTTTCCCCGTGTGTTTTCTGGTATATGAACTCCAGTTTATAACTTGCCTTGCTTAATTTCTGAGGAAATTGATGCGCGAACTTGGAGTAACTCTTTCGAAACAGGCCTTTTCAGGCACGGTCCGAAATTTGATATGGATATTTGAGCTGAAATCCATCAGCCACTGCGGAATAACCGCTTAATATTCACAAACCGCCAACAGGCAGCCAGTAGTATAGCATTGTGCAACAATTTACCGTACTAACAACACAGGTATTAGCTAAAAGCCCAGACACGCGTGTTTCGCCGATCTTGTGCCGAGCCGAGCCCCTCGCAGCTGCGCCAGGCAGCGGCACAAGATCGGCGAAACACGCGTGTCTGGGCTTTTAGCTAATACCTGTGTTGTTAGTACGGTAAATTATTGCACAAAGAGAGAGCACGCCAGGTGCTGTGCAAGTCTACCGACACTATAACCTGATACTCGCGCAGGTGACAGTCATGAGCCTCCCATAGTGTGATGCAGACACCGCCGAATGCTCATGTCTACACTGCCCCCGCGCTTTCACCCTACGCATCGGCCGAGTCGGTTACTTTCGAACCCATCGCACAGAGACTGACAAACCACTGTCTGGATCACCAACCTACATTCGCCGCAGTCGCCTCCACTGTTCAACTTGCACTTGCACATTCATGCACCGCATGGGCCTCTTCGGTTCCATGCATATTCATGAGAGCGGAATTGACCGCAGTCTCGACACATCCAGCACTAGTTGCACATCCACCATGCCTAGCTCAGCTCAAACCCGCCGTCCAGCACGACCACAATCAGCAGCTCCACCACTGGCGCCATCTCCAAAACCGACACCCCGACCTCTCCTGTCCACACTGCCCTCGTACATTCACCTCACGCATCGGCCTGGTCGGCCACTTGCGAATCCATCGCACAGAAACTGGCGAACCAAAACTTGGAGCACCGACCTACACTCGTCACATTAGCCTCAACTGCCCCCAATGTACCCGGGCATTCACGCAATGTATGGGCCTCTTCAGCGAAATGCGCATTCGCGAAAACCTGCAGTAGACAATCGCCGGCTACACCACACAATCACACCTTCCCCACCCCAACACTGGAATCACACATCATCATCCACCGCAGGCAGCTACTTGTCACCTCCGACGCAAGTGGGAGGTGTGCGTCTTGACTCCGTTTCCATGCGCCTACACAGCTGCATGTGCAACTCGAGTCTGAGACTATCAGGGCACGTCACGCGCCTTGGCTTGGAAGGCTGCTGACTGACGTCCCGAATCGGCCCACGCAGTCCGTCCAGTTCTGTGCGCGTGTGCCCCAAACGAGCCACGTGTTAGATGAGCTGGACACACAAGGGGGCCACATCGGACTCTGGCAGGCGTTATCTGTGCCCAATAAAAAATGCCAACATTTGCGGGATGCTGGGGCAGAGCCTGTTGAAGACAGTCTTCGCACAACTGGGACCAATGCCACCGCTCCATTGTACTGTGGTTCAAAATAATGGTAATTTGTTATGTCGACCAGGGGGTGTGGTGGAACGCCAAGGTAATGATTCGTCCGAGCCATCCATCTGCGGCCTCCATAGTTTCCGGTCTTCTTGACACTGTCTTGACACCGGGCTCAGGCGGGGAGGAGGAGAGGGTGTAGGTAGATGCAGCGAAAGTCTACTGGCATTATAAACGCCTGAGCAAGTCACCGCCCTGCTCCCACAGCTGCTGCTGTTGTGGAGCCCACGGTGAACATCGCCGAAATCGATGGTCAAAATACTGTGTGTGTGTGTGTGTGTGTGTGAGTGTGAGTGTGTGTAGGCGGACGGGTGGACGGGTGGACGGACCATCGCCTCGTCATCTCGAAGATGCGTATTCGCCTACAGCCTCGCAGGAGACCACAAGGTAAGCGACCCCCAGGTAAGCTGAATGTTGCTTTGTTGTCTTTGCCTGCTCACCATCTCCATTTCAGCAATGAGCTAGCTCAACGGCTAGACAACCTTCCAACCGCCGCCGCCGACGACGACGCCGCTGCCGAGAACGCCTCCGTGGAGAACCGCTGGTGTCAACTGCGAGACACGGTCCAGTCGACGGCACTCGCCGTCCTCGGTCGCGCTCCCCGCCAACACCAGGACTGGTTCGACGACAACGACGCCGCCATCAGAAATCTGCTTGCTGAGAAGCACCGCCTACACAAAGCCTACGCAGATCACCCCAATGAGGACAACAAAGCTGCTTTCTACCGCAGTCGCCGCCAACTTCAGCAACGACTGCGTGAGATGCAGGACGCCTGGACTGCTCGCAAAGCTGAGGAGATCCAAGGCTACGCGGACCGCAACGAATGGAAGAACTTCTCCTCTGCGATCAAAGCTGTCTACGGTCCGGCGACGAAGGGCACTGCTCCTCTCCTCAGCGCCGACGGTAGCACTCTTCTGACTGAGAAGACGCAAATCCTGCAGTGATGGGCCGAGCATTTCCGAGGCGTCCTCAAGAGCCCCTCCGTCATCTCCGACGCCGCCATCGAGCGTTTGCCGCAAATGGAGACCAACGTGGACCTCGACCTCCCGCCATCTCTCCAGGAAACGATCAGGGCCGTGCAGCAGCTCTCCAGCGGAAAAGCACCCGGATCGGACGCAATCCCTGCTGAGGTCTACAAGCACGGAGGTCCCCTACTGATGGATTGCCTGACTGCGCTCTTCCAGGAGATGTGGCGTCAAGGTGCAGTCCCGCAAGATTTCAAGGACGCAACTATCGTGCACCTATACAAGCGAAAAGGGAATCGCCAAGTCTGCGACAATCACCGCGGCATCTCCCTACTGAACATCGGCGGGAAGATCTTCGCTCGCATCCTGCTCAACCGCCTCAATAACCATCTGGAACAGGGCCTTCTGCCGGAAAGCCAATGCGGCTTCCGTCGTCATCGTGGGACCACGGATATGATCTTCGTCGCCCATCAACTACAGGAGAAGTGTCAGGAGATGCGGACCCACATGTACTCTATCCTCGTGGACCTGACGAAAGCCTTCGACACGGTGAATCGTGAAGGACTGTGGAAGATCATGCAGAAATTCGGCTGTCCAGAGCGATTCACTCAGATGGTGCGTCAGCTGCACGACGGTATGATGGCGCGAGTCACGGACAACGGAGCTGTCTCAGAGGCATTCGCAGTGACCAACGGAGTGAAGCAGGGCTGTGTGCTGGCACCAACCCTCTTCAGTCTTATGTTCTCTGCCATGTTGATGGACGCCTACCGCGACGAACGCCCCGGGATCCGCATCGCCTACAGGACGGACGGTCATCTCCTGAATCAACGGCGAATGCACTTCCAATCGCGCGTATCCACAACCATCGTGCACGAACTCCTCTTCGCCGACGACTGCGCCCTGAACACCACCTCGGAAGAGGAAATGCAATGCAGCATGGACCTATTCGCCGCCGCCTGCGAGAACTTCGGTCTGGTCATTAACACGCAGAAGACGGTGGTGATGCACCAACCGCCACTCAACTCAGCCACAGCCCCCAACGCGCCGCCGCAAATCAACGTGAATGGGACTCAACTGCAAGTGGTGGAGAACTTCCCGTACCTGGGCAGTACCCTCTCACGCAGCACGAAGATTGATGACGGAGTCGCCAACAGGATCTCGAAAGCCAGTCAAGTCTTCGGTCGCATCCAAAGCACAGTTTGAATCGTCATGGTCTTCAACTAAGCACAAAGCTGAAGATGTACAAGGCCGTCATCCTGCCGACGCTACTGTATGGGGCGGAGACTTGGACGGTGTACACGAGACAGGCACGCCGACTGAACCACTTCCATCTCAGTTGTCTTCGTCGCATCCTGAGGCTGAACTGGCAGGATCGAATCCCCGACACGGAAGTACTGGAACGGACGGGAATCCTCAGCATCCACGCCATACTGAGACAAATGCAGCTGCGCTGGAGCGGCCACCTGGTGCGCATGGACGACGAGCAACTACCCAAACGACTCTTCTACGGAGACGTCGCGACGGGTTCTCGCCGTCAAGGAGGCCAAATTCGCCGTTACAAGGATACCCTGAAGTCCTCCCTGAAGCGCCTGCAAATCAACCCGACCAACTGGGAAGAGCTCGCTCGCGATCGCCCGACATGGAGGAGAACAGTGAAGACGGGCGCTGCTATCTATGAAGCCAACCGAATCGCTGCCGCCAAAGCGAAACGCGAAGCCCGCAAATCACAACTTCGCCCAGTCCGCAACGTCGCCGCACAACCGCTTCCATCGTGACCTCGATGCCACCGGACATTCCGGGCTCGAATCGGACTTGTTGGACATCTTCCGATCAACTGCACCTCTCGAACGGCACCAACCATTTTCCCCCCGCCCGCCCGCCTGCCTCTTCCT